ATAACTCATGCGCAAACAACCAATCATAAAATGATATTTATATCACTTATTTTATAAATCTTGATAAACAACTAATAACTGTGACCGTGAATCGTTACGACACAAAATTGACGGTACCAGTTTTACACCAATCACGACGCGCCAAATCACTGCTCATTCAATGAGAACAGATTCTTGACCACGATAACGATTACGGCACAGAACTGCACGTGATTCTTTTTTCACGCATTTCTTATAARACCCAACGTTTTATTGTCAGTAATGTTGTGAAAGTATTTCAAGGATATAGTCCTTGTACGTGTTCCACGAATGAAGTCACCATGTCCGCCATGTTTCTCTCAAAGTCCTTGATAGTGTCCTACATGTAGATAGAAAAACATGAATTATTTYAAATCCGTTTTACTAATTAAATCAAAGACACGAGAGCTAGCAGCAAATGTTATTCCACATATTTAACTGATAACTCGCAGCTAATGCGCCGACTCTCATCAATACGACCCGGGTTAGATTCCCGGGCTCGGTGTCGTATGTGAGTAGAATTGGTTCAGTGTTTCGCTCTCCTGTGCTTCAAGGGTTTTTTTCCTGGTTTCTTGGTTTTACCTCCTTCTGCAAAAGTCAACTACTAAATTTCAATTCAATCTGGCGTCGAAAGCTTAAACATTAGTCTCTGGCTCAGAAGACTGAGTAATACGCCTTGCTTGTCGACGTAAATTTTTATTTTTTAAACAATTGCTAAATGTAATAAAAGTACAAGACGATTCCAAGGTTGAGATATGAAATATTTCGTATTTGCGCACAACACGACCATGGTACCAGAGCTTACATATGTAGCTCGTCCTCCTCCTAAGCCTGTACACCCTTTGTGGGGTATAGGCCATCAACWACAACTGAACGCCAATATGTAGCTCCTGCAAGACCAGAAAAACCAACATAGACACAGCCATTACTAACCTCCAGCTGATCCACAAGTTGCATCTCCAGCCCCATCAGTGAATCCCACAGTTTTGCTACCTTGTCTACAATCTCCTTCATCATACTCTCTAACATATTGACATCACTGGTATTCGAGTAGTCTATCAAAGCCTTTTGAAGTAAAACAGCAACAACGTTACGTTATAAATAAATAAACTAAACGACACGTGCGTGGGTGCTCGGAGGCGTTTGTTGGTACAAGGGTGACATTTTTTTTCCTGGTCAGAAATTTAGAACTTCATTCTAGATTTTTGAAATCCTTGTTGAGATGCAAAATTTATAAAGGTAACAGCATGTCCACGAAAGACAGCTTCATCTTCAGTCCATATTACGAAGGTGAGTAAAATTCACAACTTCCCGGTACGCGGCCATGATACGGCAAAGGAGGTCTGTATCATCCGTTTATCACAGACACAAATTCTGACCTGCTGGGCATGAGTAACTGTATACCAAGAGAATATGAACTAAGAGAAGGAATAACCGCGCCCCATCATGAGCACTCTTTGATGCTATTTTTATAATCATTTATTTGATCGTTTGTTTTCCTTTACTCGCATGCTGCGCTACCCTATTTGCTCATGTTTCCTTTTTTAACGTAAGCAAATAGCGTAGAACGCGCGCAGTATGCGCGTGCACAAGAACAAACTATGGCAAATTAAAAGTGATTCTAAAAATAGCATCAAATGATGTCTATGATGGTTACAAGCATAAATACCAGAGATTCCTTCTCTTAGTTCATTTTCTCTTGCGTATACTAATCAGCTCTTTCACGCATTCTTGTCATACTGTCAATCTTTTAGTGGCAGTCCTACCTTTTTCTTGAATTCTATATATTCCTGGATGTGAGTAACACCATCTTTCTTGTTTTCCAACAGAGCGTCTTCCAAACTGGAGAAGAATGAGTCTACTTCATCTTTTCGTTTAGTTCTTTCTCGTAGACCAAATTCGAAGATATCACTGCAGATCGACATGAATTTATCCTTGAAATTAAGAACAGTCAAGGAAAAATGTAACCACTAAGGAGCATTGGTCAAATTTTTGCAAGGTCCGGGGGGAGGGGGAAGGACACTACCTATTAACCTAAACAAATTATTCCCCACCCCTCTCCCCTAACTACATGCATTGTTTTCCCATTTTTAATGGAATGGAAAAGGAAGGACATTAGGTTTTGTGGATCAAGAAGGGAAAAAAACCCAGAAAAAAAAMCCTCAGATCAAGGGAGATATCCAACAAACTCTACTCACAGTTGATGCCGAGCCCAGGAAAGTAACCTGAGACCTGCCCCCTCCCCCCCCCCCCCCCCAGAGGTGAGAGGTGAGGGTACTACTACAACACCTTCCTTGAATCCCATACATGAAGAAAGTGCAGAAAGACTTCAATGGTACTAGATAAATGTAGTAGTACAAAAGGATATGCTGTGATAATATCTTCCATGCCAGGCAGTGCTGACAGTTTTTCACCATCAGGATCATCATTATACATGGCATCAAACAGATGAGAAGTGTTTAGGTCTTCAACATATGCTTCCTGTGGTCACAATAAATGAAACATTATATCAAATTATCTCAATATGATATGCCTCTTTTTTGTTTTTTCAATTTAGGTAAATTCTTGATCAAAAACTTGCTAATTTGGGCTATTAAATATGATGTTATCCTTATCATGTCAATCATTATTATCAATTATAATTTATCATCATTTATCATTATCAGTCATCATTACCATCATCACCATCTTCAGTCATTGTGATCATCATCACCATTATCACCATTAGTTATCAAAATCATTAGTTATTATCACCATCATCAGCCATCATTATCATCACCATCACCATCACCATCACCATCACCATCCCCATCACCATCACCATCACCATCCCCATCACCATCACCATCACCATCACCATCACCATTACCATTATCACCACTATCACCATCAGTCATCATCAGTCATCATCACTGTCCATATCATCATCAGTCATCATAATTACTATCATCATCATCAACAGTAATTATATTATCATCAGTGACATCATTATCATCACTATCTTCAGTCATCATCACCATCATCAGTCATCTTTACTACAATTATTAGTCATCATCATCATCTCCATCATCAATCATCATAATCATTGTCATCATCACTATCATCAGTAATCAACATCATTATATCATCATTCTCGTCACTGACTAAAAGTCATTCTAAATATACTGACCTTGTGTAGCTGTCTTTCATTCTCTTTAGCTTCCTTCTCCATCTTCTTCCGTTCAGTGACTGTTTCATCATGTACCAGCTCCTCAATAGAATACTTATATTTCTCCATAGCCACTTCTCTGGCTGTCTCATCAACTAATCTAAAATCCAGATACACCAGGTCTGGCAGATGTGCTATCACATATTCCTTGTAATTAGCATCTTCACAAAAAGGGTTGGAGCTTAGGTTCAGGGTGCGCAGGCTTTTAAACTGTCTTAAATATAGTACCTAAAAAGAAAAAGAGTTTAAATTTATTTATATTTTTAAATATTTATTTAAAGATTTGCCAAAGGCAGATTCCCCTATTGGTAAATTACCAATTGAATTGCTGTATTTACGGGAAGCAATGGTGGCATGCGCTGCTAATGCGTCACCTCTCACCAATGCGACCTGAGTTCAAGTCATCAGATCTTGATGTCGTATGTGAGTAGAGTTGTTTGCTGGTTCTCTCCTGTGCTTCGAGGGTTTTTCTCCGGGTTCTCCAGTTTTCCTCCCTCCTCAAAAATCAACTACTAAATTCTAATTCAATCTTTGGGCTTTCACCTAGTTTGGAGTCTAGCTCTGTTGTGAGTCTCATGCTGTGATACAACAGCTAAAGTTAGTAGATTTTTTTTTTTTTTTAGATTTTTTTTTATTTATAGTAGATCCAACAGTCAAATATTTATTTGTCTTTGACTTTATTTACTTACATTATCCAATTGTTTCAAATTGTTATTACCAATAGAAAAGACATGGAGTTCTCTCAGACTGTCCATATTTTCTATCTTTGAGATCCTATTATTGTACAGGGTTAGGTCTTTTAACTTAGTGAGCTTGCTCAGACCCTCAATCACCTCAATATTATTAAAAGACAGATCTGAAAGAAAAATAAATGTTGATGCAAATTTTAAAAAGACACACGAATCAAGTCTGTTATTTCATTTCCACAAATCTTATTCCCATTTCCCAATTAGATTATGACATGTTGTGACAAACACTCATGATGTCATAAGCTATATCTATGAATTACCTACCGTGTTTATATCAGAGGACAGCTCTAGACACATTCATGCAAAATCCTCCAAAAAAATTTTTTATGAAAGCATTATTCAACAGCTGATATGTCTCTGTGCTGCGATATAAAGCTGTAGAGCACTCGTGAAGAGAAACTCTCAGCTATGCCTTATGTTCCTAAGCTTGCTTTTCTTTTGCTCTACAGCTTCTAGCGTGTTTATATCACAGTACAGAGACATGCATGCACATTTTATATCCTTTAAATGAGAGTACTCACCTAACCATTCAAGGTTGACTAGCATGTCCAAGCCTTCAATCTTCTCAATAATGTTATTATCAAGTTGTAAGGTAGTTAGATTAACAAAACTCCATAGGTTGTCTATCTTTAGAACATCTGATTAAAAGAGCAAAAAACATTATCAAACCCTTTCTTCTTGCTTCCTTAATATCAGACAATTGATACGAATAAAATTAAAAATATTACAAAGGTACAAGCTTTTTGTTCATAATAACACTTTTTAAGCTTTAATGTCAGTTATTATTATACTGTACGTATATTGAGATTCAATTATTTGACCCTTTGTTAGAAAAAAATATTGTCATGTTACTCTAAGCTTCAAGAAATTCATGTAATTGAGGAAGGATATCTTTTAGATATTGAACAATAAGCTTTCGTTTTCCATACTTTTAAAGTCCAATCTCAACGACAGCACTTCTCCAAAGTCAACCCCTTCTTGTTTAGCGATCCTTCCTGCTTCTCCTCTCGGTCCTTGTTCCTCCACAGCCTGCTTGAGCATATGCTCATCGATAACAGAAGGCTCTATAGTGTCGTAAAGACGGCTCATGGTTGAAAAAAGCTAGAAATTCTCCATTAAAACAAAGAAAAATTTGTAATGTTTTTTTCTCGAAATTCAAAACTTGTGGTTGTTGAACGTGTTGTCCTGGACAACCAAACCGTGGAGGACTAGGGACAATCAGACGTGACGTATTTCCGGTTCCCCAAACAACACAATTTTTACCTATTTTTTCTCTATAACAAACAATTCTAAAGCTACAAAAGTAACTATATTACTTAGGAACCAAAATGAACCAGATAAGTTTGAATTTGTTTGAATATTTTGTCTTTTTTTTTTTTATAAAATGGCAAAAATGACGTCATTGTGTGTGATGCAGAATACCCAGAAGTCTTTTCGGGTTAGCAAAACAGCCCGAAAGGAATCCTGGGTATATCGTTAAACTAAATGAAATAACATTGTAAAGTAAAATATTTTTTCTCATATTTAAACCAAAAATAATAATTCAAAATGATGGAATACGAGTACGAGATCGACCCCAGGTAAAAACTCAATCATTATTCTTTCAATATCATGAGTTTCGAGTCGTAAATTGAGTTTAAATTGAGTTTATTTGGTGTTTATCTTGACAGGGGTCTTCAAGGCAAGCCAGGATCAGTGACTCTAAGGAAAGACAAACAGAATCTAATTGGAATAAGTATTGGTGGTGGTGCTCCTTTATGTCCTTGCTTATACGTCGTACAGGTCTTTGATAATACTCCAGCAGCTAAAGATGGAGTTTTGCAAGCTGGAGATGAAATTGTAGGAGTAAATGGGAAGTCTTTACGAGGAAAGACTAAAGTTGACGTGGCTCGAGCGATCCAAGCTGTGAAAGTATGTCACGAAAACATTGTATTTTTTATTATATCTCCTTGTAAAAATTTTAAATTTTATTTTTGCAAGAATGCAAATTTTAAGTAGGGTCGAAGTTGTTGCCGAATTTTTATGTGTATTGTTCAATCTTGTGATTAAATCAATCTGTTCAACACAAAGATCAAAAGAAGACTGCAATGCTTGAATGGGTCTTTAATTATTTATATTTAAGTTGTATTTTGAATTCTTTTTTAGTTTAAATCATTTTGGTCTAAATTTATCCTACCCCTGTATATAATTGGTACAGTTTAAATAGATAAATGTCCAGTGAAAAAATATATAACAGTTGTCACTGACTGAGAATTATAACTAATATTCCAGGACGTTTCTGTTATGTTACTATAGAGGCCCTATTGGAGGTGGGGATACCCATGTTCTCCATCTGAATTTCACAATTTTAGAAGGTTCTTTTGTCTCTGTTGGAATTTACCCCTAACAGAGCCTCACTGTCAGCAATTCATTAGATTCATTCGCAGTCTGTTGTTCGTTGCTAGTTTTTGGCTCTCTTGTTGCCATTTCAAGGCCATGTCACTCACCGAAATTTACCCCTAACAGAGTCTGACTATAACCTTCCTCAGCAATGATAGAATGACAGGATAATATGTTGATAGATGAATTTTAGCCATCATTGACGAGGAAAGTTATACTGTAGCAACATAACCAAAACATCCTGGAACATAGCATAATTTCCAGTCAGTGACAACTCTTATATATATTTTTTATTAGTTAACATGCCCAAATGCACCTATTTTTAAATTTAGATAAATGTCATTATATTGTTATGATTATGATTATTATTCTCTTAGGAGGAAGTTTGTATAAATTATGTCAAACTTCATGCTGACCCAAAAGAAGGCAAAAGTCTTGATATCAGTAAGTTCCTTTGCAAATAGAAAATTTATTACTCTATGTTTAAAAAAACAGCTATGTGCCCTGTTATGCAATAGAGCTTGCAGGAATTGAGTGATGAATGAAGTGAGATGTAGCTGACACTTCTTGAGTGCTTACGGCATTTTCTAAGTTTTGCATTTTACTAGAAACTCTACGCTCTATCAGATGCTCTATATAGAAAGAAAAACTGTTGGACTTATAGTTTCAATATCATTGGTTTTCTTACACTTCCTTTCAAAGTTGGTGGTACGCGCATGGTTGGTGTCAGCACTGTGCTCTGTTCACTAAAACATGGTTTTCTTTCACTAAAAAATGACTATTGACTTTGGTAATGCATTATTTTAAAAGAGTTTTTTTTAAATTTAAGTAATGAAGAAAATGAAGCATCGCATGGTAGAAGGCATGAGTTCTTCAACGGCTGATGCTCTTGGACTTAGCAGGGCTATTCTTTGTAATGGTAAGCTAATATGAGCCTTCTTTGAGTGCCTGTAGAAAAAATATTGAAGCACAGGGGAGAACAAGCAAACAACTCTGCTCACATACGACACAGAGCCAGGAAATTGAACCTGGGTTGCATTGGCAGGAAGTGGTGCATTAGCAGCACACACCATCCATGCTTCCCCTTCATTTATTTTTGGGACGTCCTCCCATTCCATCTCATTTCTTCATTTCTCCCTCCTTTTCTTTCTCTCTCTCTCTTTTCTTCCCTCTATCCATCCATTTTTCTCTTGCTTCCTTTCATCTTTTCTAATTTGTCCTTTCTTTTTTAGTAGCCCATTTTTACATTTTTCATTTCACACTTGCTTTCAACACTGTGATAGAACTACTGTTCCCAGGGCTTCAGGTCTTATGTTCATCAAATTTTGTTTTTATTCAGATGGGCTAGTCAAAAAGCTTGATGAATTAGAACAGAACTCAAATGTCTACAAAGGTTTGTTATATATTCACTGTTATGTACTGAAATAAATACCTATGAGGTCAAACCTCCCATCCTAATATTTGTTTGTTTCAGCTCAGAGCAATAGCTAGCATTATTATTTAATTGGTATTTTTAATTCTGTCATGACAGGTTTAGTGGATCATGTTCGGCAGTATTTACACAGTTTTTACCAGCTTGCACAAACTAACAAAGGTATGGCTGTGATGGAAACATTTATCCTCTCAATTCTTCCAGTGTGTCATTTTTTGTTATTCACAAAAAAATAGCAAAATATTAACAATTAATTTTATTTAATGGAATAAGTTGAAGAATAATTTTAATGACTTGTACATTTAGGGTTTTTTTTTTGCATTGATATTGTATCTTGATTCATTTTAAAAATTATGAGCATCATAAAAAACATATATATTATATATTCTATATTTTATGGCCATCACTTCCCCTGAGGGGCTTTTCTGTGAGGCTCTCTTCACTCCCATCACCACTATGTTTACTAATTACAACACACAACACTCAACTCACATGTCCCCTGAGGGGCTTTTTCATGAGACTCCCTTCACTCCCATCACCACTTTGTTTACTATTTACAAAACACAACACTCAACTCACATGTTTGAGCAAAATGGGGGTGGCTAGCTACCCCCTTCACTACCCCCTGGATCCACCTCTGACTTATTTGGTTCAGTTGAGAATTGACCCCACTACTCCAGGTTTAAACTGTACAGAAATTAGAGACACCGCAGTGCATACTGTAGCACCCCATTGAAATTACATTAACACTTTTTTTTATTTTCTATAGAGCTTGGTGATATATTTGCTTCTATTGGAGTCAGAGAGCTTCAACCTAATGCCAGTGAGGCATTTGCTATATTCAGTGATGCTCACAGGTGAGTGCTCACTGTATAAATCAGTGACTGTTATTGATACATGTAAACAAACATGTTTTTCCCACAGTTTTTATACTCACTTCACCTATGACGTGAGGAATGGAATTTCCCTAAGGGGTTGGGCAGGTTTCAAGAAGCATCAAACACACTATACTATTCAAATATCAAATAATATTCCTTAGTAAAAATACACAGGTGATTATTGAAAATCTCGCTCGCTGATTGGTCGAGAAACTCACACTATCACACGATAATCACCTCCAGCAATAATCCAAAATGGCGGCCAGCAACTTTGTTGCTGTTACAAGAAAAAAATATCTCTTATCTTCTTTATTTTCTTTTTTTGAAAATAAATTTTTTTGTATTTATACTAAAACAATTATTTGCCTCAGCCTCAGTGAATATCGGAGAATATTTACCTCATTGCTTGAAGACTYGCGTCTTGGTAAATTTTCCCCGATATTCACTTTGCCTTCGGCGAATAATTGTTAATTTGAAATATTTTTTTCATTTCTAGAAATTTTGAAAAACTGGGAATGGATTTCTTGAAAAAAGTGAAGCCAATGCTTACAGACCTCAACACGTATCTTTGTAAGGTATGTTAAGAACTTAATTTTCCTTGGTATTTATCATCCTTTTCTTTCCTTACTTTTTCCTGCGTTTTTCTGTTTTTCTTCCCCTCACCTTTCAGTCAATTCATTCATTTCTTCATTTTGGTTTTCTTGCTGTTCTCAAAGGCCATTCCAGACACAAGATTAACTATTAAGAAATATGCTGATGCAAAGTTTGAATATCTGGTGAGCATCATTTGTATTTGTTTGTACAGGGAAACGCCCTGGGCTCTAGAGTATTATATTGCACCTTTTGGCTGTAAGAAGTGACCAGTCCAAGGCACAAGGGAGTGAAAGGAATCTCTGGGTGCAAGCATTAATCCTTTGAATTTGCTGAACCAACCAGAGGCCTAAATTATAACACAGAGTCAAAATACAATATGTTGGAGCAACAATAAATAACCTACGGACCCCAGGGTATTAGGGAAATGGTCAACTCTCCTGATAGCCAACTCACCCTAAGTCAACTCCCCCAAAGTCTGACTCCGACGAAGGACTAGCGTCCGAAGTGTCAGTTTTTTCACCTTTTCACGGTGTATAATTTACCTTTTTATTATTACTGTTTCATTAGAAACACCGACGCAGCTCTCAATAGTTTTTAGCTAGTTATCTCTTTGCCGATAATCAAGGTCAACTTGCCCATAATCTTAGTTCTCCAGCGCACTTCTTTCTGAAATTTCTTTATGTTCACACCTTTTTTAAGTCTACATGAACAGTTTTTTCTAACACTTGACTTCTTTCTTCTAGTCCTATTGTCTGAAAGTAAAGGAAATGGATGATGAAGAATATGCATATGCCGTGAGTTATTATTTTATATTTGTTTTATGTCCTGTGAAAAATATAAATTATGTTAAGGGACAAAAAGCAGCTATTCTGGTAACATTTTGATTCAGAAAAAATGGTGTGCCAGTATATTTATTTGCATGCTCTGGAAGGTCCTGAAACATAAGCATTTCCGTCATGTTGTCAATCTTCTAGGCACTTCATGAATCACTTTATCGTGTTGAGACAGGAAACTATGATTACAGGTGAGAAATAGTTTGCAAAAGAAATATTTATACAGGTTTCAATCAATATTGATCTACTAAACCAAAACCAAACACCAACTTAATCAGACCCTTAAACAACCTCTGGGCTGATCTAAGTCAGGGCATGGCTAACTCACAGATCGATCCCCAAAACAACCTCTGGACTGTTCAAACTCAGAGCATGGCTAACTCACAGATCAAACCCTTAAACAAACTCACAGATCAAACCCTGAAACAACTACTGGGCTGATCTATAAAGTCAGGGCATGGCTAACTCACAGATCAAACCGTGAAACAACCTCTGGACTGATCAAAGTCAAGGCATGTGAATAACTTACTTATTTAATGTTGTACTATAGAGTTGTACTGAGATGTAGACAGCTTGCAAGAGAGAGATTTGCCAAGCTTAGACAAGATGTTCTTATCAAACTAGAACTGCTGGACCAAAAGCACGGTAAGTGAACAAAATGCCTTAATATTAACGATGCTACTTCCCTTTCTATCCGTTTCTTACTAGGCGCAATGATTTCCCATTTCAGGCCATGTGTTATTCTCTTGAATTCTTATTATCTCGTGAAATAACTGTTATAATTCTTGCATTCTGATTGGTTGGGAGTGCATGCTTTATATATTCTCCGTTACGCGTCGTGCTTTTCCTAACATTTCTCTTATGTTATACCAACTTTCTTCCGCGTTGTTTATTGAAGAAATAGAAAAACTCGCGCGCGTGCTGTGTGCAGTCATAAAGCCAAGAGGGATGGCAGGACGGCACACAGCACAGCAAGCAAGTTTTTTATTTCTTTTATAAAATACAAATTACAATAACCGTTATTTTAGATAGGAATGACGCAACTGAAAGTGCGCGCGCGTGCAATGTACTCTCATAAAGCACGCGCTCCAAACCAATCAGAACGCGACATTCATAACATTTATTTTATAAAACTGCTCACAGCACGCGTGTGCGTTTCCTATTTCTTCACTCGTGTCTTGTAGTGGGAGCAATGGTTTGCTAAATTTCTTCAAATTCATATTCCATCTTAAACAATCCTATATCCTTTTCGATCGTTAATCGTGACTTTTTTCTTTTCTTTTCTTCTGGGTTTCTAGTTCAAGATATTGTGGTTCAACTTCAACGCTTCGTGTCTGCTGTCGCCGTTTATCATGACAGTGCGTACTCTGTACTGAAGGATGCCAACGTGTTTCCTATCGAGGTTGATCTGACGCGAGGAGCCCTTGGAAGCACGCTAAAATAATACATCAAATTCCTCTATCTTCTATTGCCCCCGCCCCGCTCCGCTGCAGCCCTAAGTCTCACTCACTAAGCATTCCAACATTAATGATCGCGATAATGCTGGATTGTTTAGAGTTTCATGTGAGATGATAAGTTGCCTCTTGCCAACCATTCATGATCTAGACATATTTATCTCAATTTGGGACCATTTAATTTAGAAGGATTTCTTTCTTTTAGTTGGCCAGGTTTTGGAGAATAATGGCTTCACTTAGTATTTATCATTTGAAGAAGCATTGTTTAGTTACTCTATTTTGCTTACTCTACCGCCGAGGGAACGGCTTTGCTCTCTTTTTTTAACTGAATGGTCCTTGAGCGATCATATCAATTCCTGGTTTAATAGGGATAAGGTCAAAACAATAAATACCCGATTTAAAGGGGAGAGTTGGGTTGGTACCCTACACCTCTTAAGGCGCGATTACACAGAGCAATTTTCTCTGCAACTTGTCTTGCAACAGCGTTGAGACACAAGTTGCAAGAGTGTTTAGACGATGTAGCGAAGAAGCAATCGTTGCCAAAAATAGATACTTGTTCTACTTTTGGCAACGATTGCTGCAGGCTTATCTTGCAACATTTTATTTTTTCAAATTGCGCTGTAGGTTACACGCTGCAATGCTCCATGCAACTTGTGTCGCAAGACAAGTTGCAGAGAAAATTGCCCCGTGTAATCGCGCCTTTCAAAGCAAATTGAARTCTCTTCAAAATTAAGAGACAATTACAGGTTCACATCGGATTCGTTTGTATTGGACCATTGTTTTAACCTTATCCAGTACATACTAACAAAACAATCGAGAGTGAAAACTAAAAGGTTTAAATATATAATTGTATAGTATACGCGGAATTAACATTATATTTAGATGTATAAAAGTTCTCATATAACAATAAGATGGGTATTTATTTATAATCCCAAATAGAAGCACTATAATGCTTCACTCCGCTTCGTTAAGCCGTTTGAACAAAAGAGAACATTTTAAAAATCGTTCACTATTAATTCCCGTGGATGAAAAGGCTTTGAAAATGATAATTAAATGAGTTAAAAAGGTTTTTGTCTGTCCTAGTGAATTCTGAAATAATTGTGTTACTGATGTTATGGTGCTATTCGCCTTTCTCCCACCCTCTCATAGGCTCTAATTATGTTAGCTTGATCTGTTATTCTTTATGTCCTTCAATTTGTTCTTCTAATAATAATACATGGATTGCAATTTGAGTTTATTTGGAGTCCAGTCCACCGAGTCCATGTTTTATCGCGAGGAGAAAAACCCTCGAATCAAACTAACCTAAGGGAGAGACATCAAACTATACGGCTGACGTGATTCCAATCGAGTCCAGGACTCAAACAACCCAGAAGTGACCAGGCACTGCACGCGATAACCACCCATGATTCCCGGACGATTTGCGCTAGCCGTAATATGTTTTAGTCCATGTTATAACAAATCATGGTTAGTAAAAAGAAATAACATTGTTCTATATGGAACCGCGAATCAATGCAATATGGAACACGGTACCCCAAGAGTTTGCCCAATATGGAGTGATATCTCTCAGCGAGGGATCGACGGCTCGAACTGAAAAAGTGGCTCCAAATCGGATGGAAATCAGTACAAACCTAGATTTAAAAAATATAAAAAACAGGTCAAGATAACTTGAAAAGTTAGGAGCATTTATTGCAGCATTTTCAAAGATAATCCATTTTATACACTTAGTTAAATCCCGACGAAAGTATAGCTTAGTAAAACCCCACAAAAACATGACCGTTGTGCTACCTGATATCATAGTGATATATATGCAAGACATCCTGAAAGGCTAACGTATAATTAAAATTATTCTTTAAAAATTAATGAGTACTTTATCTATAGATAGACCTTAATTAACAAAAATTGCGTAGTTCTTCCTTTAGCCACAACACGATGAATAATACTGTTATGTGATTGGCTGGATTCATCTTTATCATAGAAAACTTATTGGAAAATCCAGAGGAGATAATCATGTTTATTTATCGAATATTTTATAAAATCGAGAGTATAGTCAGTGCTCGTAATGAAAAAATCTCCACGAATTTGTTTTATTAAAAAAAGCTTATCTGTAGTAAGTGAAAAATAGGACGAAGAAACCTTTGATGTTACGCTTTGAAAATATTTTTTCGTTCAATCGTGAATGGCGTGGTCTCTGTTTTTCAAAATAAGGGCTGTCCGAGTAACTCATTCGAATCTCGTAAAGATATCTAGCAATCTGAAAAAAGGTCTTCTGCGGAGCTTTGATTCGGATATGTAATCATTCAAATGAAATATAATAAATTTAATGGCTAAAAAAAGTAAATTTATTCGATGCTTCAATTATCTACCGCGGGCTTCCTGTTTCTTTTTTTCTTCACTGACATATCAGCTGGCGCAGGTGCTCATTGTTTCAGTTCCTTAAATTTTTATTTTCTTCGGAATTATGAAGGAAAAAAGCCTAGAAAACGACAAAAAAATCATATTCTATGCGCAATTTCGTCGAAAAAGAGCTACTTTTATTTTATATTTCAATATATTTATGTGTATTTACTAATGCTGCTTGGTGAGATCTCAAATCGACAGCTGAAGCATCGGTGGGAGTTCAACTATCTGATTATTCTTTGTTCGAAAATAATAATCCTGATCCAGCGAATGAAAAAGAAGGAAATCTGTATGCAAATAAAAGGTGGGACTCCTGTTTCTGCTCATTACATATTGATAGTGGCTGTCTTGAGAACTCTTTCGATCTCTGTACAAAAAGCCCTCAAAAAATTACGGCTCGTGCGGTCGTCTCCCTTTGCTAGCTGTAGTTCTACATCACCGAGTGAGAGAATTAAAAGGGATAGCTGCGATGGATAGATTAGACGAACCAGAAGGCCGTACAGAGAGCGAGAAAAATGTCCTTGACGATGAAATGGAAATTGGGGGTTCAAGCGAAGATGAAAGCCGACAAACAAATCGAAATGGGTTGGTAGAAATTGGAGGATTCCTTTGCTTCGCTGTAGTAACATACATCATATACACGACTATTATAACTTCAGCTGAAGATGTTCTCTCTGCTACCCATATTCCTACTTCTTCTACAATTCTGTGCCTCAACTCTCCATATTTTATCATGACATTGATTTTGCCCTATTATATTGATAAAGTGCCGTTGATGACAAAAGCAGTCGTTTCGGCTCTGTTCTTCGCTCTTGCTCTTGTCCTCATCGCTCTGATCACGACCCCAGGACTTCGACTGATAGGAATATTAGTAGCATCTCTTGGACTTGGCACCGCTGAAATTGGCTTTCTGTCTGCAACATCTTTGCATCAGGACCTGACAATTCATGCTTTTGCAACTGGAACTGGTTTGGGAGCCATTCTGGGGCCTGCACTGTATACAGGTATGGATAACTCAAATATTATATGAAAGATTTATTCGGCATTTGACGGTTTTTAACTGTCATTATTATAAAATAATAGATGGTCATTTTAAAAAATTGTTGCCGGATTTGAAATGGAGTAGCGATTTGATTTTCTAAAAATGCTTGTGCTACGTCCAGATCAAACATATACGAATCCATGTTCAGATAACATATATATGTGAGACACTGATTAGCATTGAATCTATCCCCACTAACCCTATACACCCATTTCAATAAACGTTGTCATCAGGCGATAGGCAATAGACAATAGGCGCAAAGCGATAGTTGATAGGTCATTCCAAGATCCAAGAATAGCTGGAATGACTTGTGTTTCTGCTTCTTATTCTCGTCAAGAACATGGACCTTAGTGTTGAGACTGATTCAATGTTCTACGGCCTATCGTCTATCGCCTTTGACGTCGTCTTATCGTTTTTTGAAATAGGTGTGTATGTGATCGAGTTTACAGTATTGTTTCTTGGTTTTTCCCTGCGCCTTGAGTTTTTCCAGGGCAATAAGCCCTTCCGTATGATATTCGGCCTGGATCCCATGATTTATAGTAATCAGTTTTTTACATAGGTCATAGGTCAAGCCGTCTTTGGCGTTATATTGCTCTAATCAACCCTTATTTTCCGGCGAATTTTCTAATTACTGGATTTTTTTTTTTTTTTTTTTTTTTT